CTTACACTCACATATTAACTATTTCCCTGAAAATCTCGGTGCTGTTAGGGAAGAACAAGGGAAAAGGTTTCATCAAGCTATCAGGGAAATGGAGAGGAGGCATCAGGGAAGGTGGAACACAGAATGATGGCTGATTACTGCTGGTCATTGAAGCAAGATGCTCCAGACGCAATAGATAAAAGAAAGGCCACAACACGTACTTTTGAGACTAAAAGACGTAGATTTCACAAAAGAAATCAGGAATAAATAAGGATCCATATTCTTTTGACATCAATATTCTTCGCTTTTCTTCAGCTTGTATTTTGTTAACAAACATACTAATAACAAATTTTCATTGTGGTAAACGAAATAATAATTTGATCTAAGTTTAAGTTTTATTTCTTCCCGATTTGTAAAAAATCCTTACATGATAGAAAAAAATGAATATTATTTTGGAAATCTGCGTAGCTAAGTTATGAAAAATCCGTTATTTAAACCAAAACAACTTTTATGAAGTTTAAATTTGCAGGCCTGTGTTATTAGTTTCATATTTCGTTTCAAGCGAGTGTACTGTTTTGATAAAGAAGAAAAATGGTTAAAAAAGCACGTGATTTAGTCACGTGGCATATCTTTTCGTAGGAGGCGCAGTTATCATTGTCCGTAAATATTAGATATCAACAGATCAAATAAGAAGCTTTTTTTTCGTTTCATGTTTACTGCAAGGTACTGGGTCTTAAAGTGTAAAACATAACACACATTAAAATAACTTTTCATTTTAATAACCTAGAATTAGCTTAGGAATTTTTAGCCGTAACATAGCGGCTTAAAGAATGGCTCTGAGTTTTTCAAGTTCCAACTCATAGGTCCGTCATCTCTTGATGGATTTGAGGTCTAATTACAATTTTGGACTCAGGAGGTCAAACTCTTTCGATTAATGTATTTGACCACGCCCAAAGTCTCATAGATTCATTTATTCTGATCCCGCCTATGAGAATTTCAGTTTGAGAGTAGGCTGGTATTGCTGGCGCATAAAATATAGCTAATAAAAAGAAAAAAGTCTCATAGGTTAATTTACTCTAATCCTGCCTAAAAGAATTTCAAGTGCCGCGACTGTTGAGGATTCTCTCTGTTAATGTTAACTATTTCAACGATAAATATATGTTAACGTACATTACAAATTGTACACGATAACATATTCAGCGAATGCTTCAGTTCTAGTGTGAACAAAGTATAGTTCTCTCCAAGGTACTCTCACGAAATAATAGTATTACTTGAGTCATACCGTAAACCATGAACTGTATAAAACAAAATTAGTATGATGTACTACATACAACAGTTTAAATATAAACACATTCACAAACTAAAATATGATTATGGTGTATCTCATTGAGATTTTTAAGCATCTAAGTTAACGACCGAAATTCCGAATTAACTGTGGTTGTGCTACTTGAAAAGACGAGTAGAGTGAAAATTATTCTCCTTTATCTGATTCTGCAGGAGAAGCCGACAATTGGAGACAAAATGAAAATATTTAATGAAGGGACAGCCGAAGGAAATAAAAAGGAATGGAGGTTTTGAAATACTGTAGAAGCCATTTCAAAATATTTTTCAATTTGTTCGTTTGTTTGTTGTTAAATCTGCTGTTAAAGATATCCACAAGTACACAGGATCTTCCAGTAAAACAAATATTTTGTTCTTACGAATAAAATAAATATTGAGTTAGTTGCGTAAGTTGTTTTGGATATAGGAATGGATTAAATTTTTAAAAAGTATATGCTAGAAGTAAAAAAAAAACGATGAAACTATTTTAATTAAGCAGCTTGTGTGGAAGGTAAACCGTACTTTGTAAGAACTATTTGCATATTCTAATCAGTGGTGTGTCGCTGCAGATGCTGCCAATGACGTCACGGACGAGATGTTTAATACATCTATATTTAGTTCACAGAGATATACAGACCATTGAACTGTGTAATATCACTATGCTTGTGTGAATTTATTTACAAGCACTGTTAAGATATACAAATGTTTTATTTTTTTCTGGGGGGGGGTTGCAAGCATTTCTTTTCAGTCTATCAGAAGATAAAATAATTAGAAAGCAAAGCAGCACACTACTGTAAACTCATACAAATAGGAAATTATACTTACATAATTAATAGCATTGTAAAGTTATCGAAAGTTCAGGCTATTTTTGATAGCAGTCTTACCATTTAAATTTGTTGAAACTACATAGATATGAATTAAGACAGAATGTCGTTTCCCTTCACAATTAATTTTAAACATTTTTCTCATCATTGTGTTCTAAGCCATTTTCAAACCTTAACCAAAAAAAAAAAAAAAAACAGTAACTTTATTATACCTACCGACAGCTCTTGCTCCTT